AGCGTCTAAATCTTATACAAATACTTCCAGAATATAGAAAAAGAGAAAAATGCCTGGTTCACTTTATGAAACTTGAGGAATTTTCAAGAACCCAGTCTCTAAAACACATGAACAAAATAAAACAAAAACATGGAAAAGGTAGGTTCCCTGGTGCACTGAACTCTCGTATTCTCATCTTTTGTCCTTAGATTATTTGGGGTTTTCTATGTACAAGATCGTATCATCTGTAAATGCTTCGTTTTGTTTCTTCCTTTCCAATCTCATAACTTTTTCTTCTGCTGCTTTTTCTTTTCTTACCGTGCAGGTCAAGATCTCAGGCACACTGCTGAAAGGTTGCAGAGATAGCTGGTATTTTCATCTTGTTTCTAATGTTTAAAAGGAATGTTGCTAATATTGACATTTAAGTATGTTTATTGCAAGTTTTTGATAGATATCTTTAGGAGATGGTCCTACTTATCTTTCCTTTGCAAAGAGGTTTTGTTGCTGATGAATATTCAATCTTCTCTATCTATTGAGATAGCTACATGATTTTCTCCTTTAATCTGTTAATGTGATGAATTACATTAATAGATATCCTGATATTAAACCAAATTTGTATTCCTAGGATAAATACAGCTTGCATGATGTATAATGCTTTCTACATTTTGCTAGGTTATATTTGGTAATGTGTTGTTCATACTTTTTGCATCTATGTGGATGGGTGAGATTGGCATGTAATCTTTCCTTTTCCATAGGTTTTTGTCTTGTTATAATTTTTTGTTTTTTCTTAGAGACTGAAGTCTCAGAAGTTCCTCAAGTTTCATAAAATGAATCAGATGAAGTGTTTTCTCTTTTTCTATTCTCTGGAAGTATTTGCATAAGATTTAGATGTTCTATTTATGGAATGTACACTAGAGCTTATCTTTTAAAGTATCTGATTCTACAGTTTTCTTTGTGGGCAGATTTTTAACTACAGAGTCTATTTACTTATACGTTATTGCACTATTCATGTTTTAAAATTTGTGTCTTCTGTTTTTCTTTCTTGATCAGTTCTGCTTCAGGTCTGTCAATATCATTTGTCTTTATAAAGTTCCAAATTTTGGCTTTGTTCATCCATGATTCTGCCTGTTCCATGGATATGGCACAATTCGTCTGTCCATTCACCTGCTGGTGGATGTTACGTTGCCCCATTCTTGTTTGTTACAGCTTCATCTGAACATTTGTACACATACAAGTCTTCACCTGCTTTCATTTCTCTTGGGTAAATACCTAGAATTTCGATGGCTAAGCTGCATGGTAGGTGTATGCTTAACTCTTAAAGAAAATTGCCAAATCGTTTCCAAAGTGGCTGTATCATTTTACATTCCCGCTAGCCATGTAGGAAAGTCCCACTTGTTCCACATCCTTTCCAACACAAGACACCATTAGTACTTTGGCTTGGGCCAGCTGGTTATTTTTCGAAGAGGTTCAAATACCAAAACAATATTGCTTTTATTTACCCATGCAGTGACCATTTCCAGTGCTGTTGATCTTGGTGGAGTTCCACACTCCCATCTAGTATCACTATGCTTCTGCATGAAGGATTTCCTTCAACATTTCTTGCAGTGCATCTGAGCTTTGTCAGTGACAAGTTAAACACACATTTCTTGTAGTGCCTGCAGGTCTGTTGGTGATGAATTCTTTCAGCTCTTATACATCTGAAAAAGCCATATTTCACCTTTGTGTTTGAAAGATATATTTACTGGGTTAAGAATTCTAGGCTAACATTTTTTTTTCCTTTCAGTGCTTTAAAGATGTCACCCGTCTGTCTTTTAGCTTGCATTTTTCCCAAAGAGACATTTATTGTTATCTTTGCACCCCTCTGCGTCATGTTTTTGCCATCTCTCACTGTTTTTAAGATTTTATCAGCGGTTTAAAGCAATTTAGTTATAATGTAACTGAGTGCAGAATCTCATCATTTTTCTTGTGCTCAGGGGTTTGCTGAGTTCAGTGGATCTATGGGTATACAGTTTTCACCAAATTTAAGAAAAGTTAATCACTCTTTTAAATATTTATTTCTGACCCCCTCTCCTTCTTGGGCTCCAATTGTACATATACTTGCCACTTGAAGTTTTTCCACAATTCACTGATGATCTACTAAGCTTTTTCCTGTGTTTTGTTTTGTACTGTTGTTTCTTTAAGCTCACTAATCCTTTATTCTGGGGCCTGTAATCTGCTGTTAATACCAACCAGCATAATTTTCAACCCAGACATTGCAGTTTCACCTTGAGATGTTTGATATAGGTCTTTTTACACCTTTCAAACACTTTTATAACATTGTTTTTATTTGATGTAAAATAAGACTTCTGTTTTCCCAAATGACAAGACCAAAAGAAGAGATATAAGAAGATATCACACCTTTCATATGTCTATTTCACATCTTTTCTCTAGCGTCCTTGGATACATTTCACATACCTGTTTCCACATCCAGGCTGTTCCTTTATGATTCTCTTCAACCAGGAAATACCCACAGGGAAGACTTCAGGTTTTGGCCATGAGAGGATACTCATGACTGGAATTGCCCTCCTTTGGACATAACCAGAAAATGGCATGAAATACTTGATCAAGGCCGGGCGCGGTGGCTCAAGCCTGTAATCCCAGCACTTTGGGAGGCCGAGGCGGGTGGATCACGAGGTCCAGAGATCGAGACCATCCTGGTCAACATGGTGAAACCCCGTCTCTACTAAAAATACAAAAAATTAGCTGGGCATGGTGGCGCATGCCTGTAATCCCAGCTACTCAGGAGGCTGAGGCAGGAGAATTGCCCGAACCCAGGAGGCGGAGGTTGCGGTGAGCCGAGATCGCGCCATTGCACTCCAGCCTGGGCAACAAGAGCGGAAACTCTATCTCAAAAAAAAAAAAAAAAAAAGAAATACTTGATCAATTCAGATATTGGGTAACAGGTGGTGCAAGGAGGGGAGCCCAGAGCCAGGCAATCTCGCTGAGGTGAGGGGGCAAGACTAGTGACAGGAGGCCATGGCAGCTATAATTTGCAGAGCACAGTCCCTGAGAGAAGGAAACTACACAGAGAAAGTTCCAGAAAAGTGCATCTATTTCCCTTGAGTCTTCAGCTGAAACAGATCTGAACGTGTGGAAACCCCAGGGGCACAAGGACAACTTCTGAAGGAAGAACCATGGCCAGAGCTCACACAACCTCTCTCCAGGGAGCCACTCAAGTTCCCTGAGCCAGAGAGGAAAAATGATGCAGGGGACCGAAAGCCCTTCTTCCCGAGAGCTCTTTAGCTTGTTCCAGCTGGGGGACATGGGGGAGGGGAATAAATAACAAAGCTCCAGTCAGGCGGGACCCCACCTCAGCTCCAAAAAGCTACAGGTAGGGGGAAGGAGAAGAAAAGGGTTAAGGCAAGGCATATCCTCCAGAAGGTTGAAGAAGAGCTATTCTAAGAAGACAAATGACTTACACATTTGACATTTTATAGAAACGTTAGAATAACTGACTGTCGAGCCGGGCGAGGTGGCTCACACGTGTAATCCCAGCACTTTGGAAGGCCAAGGTGGGCAGGTCACTTGAGGTCAGGAGTTCAAGACCAGTGTGGCCAACATGGCAAAACACCATCTCTACTAAAAAATACAAAAATTAGTCAGGCATGGTGGCTCACGCCTGTAATCCCAACTACTTGGGAGGCTGAGGCATGTGGTTGAACCCAGGAGGCAGAGGTTGCAGTGAGCTGAGATGGCACCACTGCACTCTAGCCTGGGCGAGAGAGGGAGACCCTGTCTCAACAAAGAAAAAAAAAAAGGCCAGACACAGTGGCTCATGCCTATAATCCCGGCAGTTTGGGAGGCTGAGGTAGGCGGATCACCTGAGGCCAGGAGTTCAAGACCAGCTTGGCCAACATGGTGAAACCCTGTCTCCACTAAAAATGCAACAATTATCCAGGTGTGGTGGTGCGTACCTGTAATCCCAACTGCTCGGGAGGCTGAGGCATGTGAATCACTTGAATCCAGGTGGCAGAGGTTGCAGTGAGCTGAGATTCGGCCACTGCACTCCAGCCTGGGCAACGAGGCAAGACTCTGTCTCGGAAAACAAAAACAAAAACAAAAACAGATGACTATCATCACACAATGTTGCTGAAGAAACTCTAGGGTTCCTATGGGTAAAAAAGTGGTATCTGTGGGTAAGAAAGCTTAGACACGTGTCCAGGGCACGACAGTGGGTGCGTTTAACTATGACACACCTAAGCTCCAAATCAGGCACTCAAGGCGAGGTCAGTCATGGTGTCTTTTAGATATTAAAGAGGGCAGAAAAAGGTATCACCACCCTTCTCCATGGGAACCCGTTTACAGAATGGGAACCACAAAGATTTGGGTGGGTGGGGGCACCACCAGGGCTTTTAGAGGAGGCAGAAAATGGTACTTCCTTTGTGGATTTCCAGAAAGTCAACTTTTCTCTGTAGACTTAGCAAATTATCATGTAGCAATCTCAGCACATTAAGTATTTCCAGAGGTGCCACACTGAGCGTGTGGCCAGGACTATGCAGTGGCCTGGGCCATGCCCACACACTGGTCAGGTCCTGTAGCTGGAATTCCTGCCTGTCTTTAGATGATGGGACCAGTGACCTCACAGACCCGGTACCTAACTCTGGACGATCTTCTTACATTGAACGGAACTCTGGAGGGAAGCACATCCCCAAGTGAGAACTCTGGGAATGTGTGGCAGAAGTAGGGAGGTGTCCTTTTCTCTACTGAATGCAAAAGCAGTTTTCTTGTAAGATGGACCTTCGTGATTGTTCTGTTGCTTGGGACCCACTTCCTTTGGTTATCAAATAAGGTTTGAGCCATCCCTTTCCTTCACGTTCTTGGTCAAGACTGTGTTGATTATCATCCAGAAGTCTTAGGGTGGCTTTTCCTGTAAGCTGCGCACACTACCAATCCCCACTGAAAAATGATCATATCATCCAATTTCATCAGCACTCCCGACACTCACCGGGTTTCCAGGAGAAGGAATGTATGTCATGAAAAGCTTGTTAGTGACATGTTTTTTGCTTTATTGAAATTCTTTCTTACAAAAGGTCTGATGCATTTTAGGCCAGGCCTAATTTCCTTCAGTCCCTGAAATGCAGGCACATGGTCATTTCCATGTCCTCTGAAGTAGGTCTGTAAACTAGTAGACTTCCATTTTTAAGGTTCAAACACCTTTTGTTTTATTTGATGCAAAACAAGAATTCTGTTTTCCCCCAATGAGAAGACCAAGTAAGAGAGTTATGTGTGTGTTCATGGAAGGGGTAACTGGATTCTTTGCCAGAACCCGGTTGGGAATGTAGTTTGTTCAATGTGGCATCTTTTCACCTTTATTATTTATTTATTTTTTTTAAATGCAAACTTTGCAACGTGTTGAGCTATGTAGTAAAAAGTGCTATGTTTATATATGCATACATATATTGTCTCTGGAAAAGGATGCGTGAGTACATGTGTGCTACGTAAACATAGCAATTGGTCAGAAGGAGAGTTTCTCATCGTTAGGACATTAAGGAGTAGCAAGCATATTGGAAGCAAGAATGACGTAGGGCCACACTGGCTTAGTTGTCAGCCAGGAGTCTTCCTGGTCCTACACCTGGAGGGGCGAGGTCTCTCCCCAAGCGGGCCAGTGCTCACCTGATATGACAGGTGATTGTGTATCTGAGGCCTATGAGTTTGAGACTCCCCCAAGGTGAGGTCTGCACTCACTTGCTACCAGGTAGCTCCTCCTATTTCTTGAACACATGTATGGCCCAGTTCTGCTCATGTAAAAAGCAGAACACGATCTCCCTGTCTCTAGGAGGGGGGTGCAGATTGCAGACTTATGGAGGCCCAAGGCCTCTTATTCCCCGACCTCACCCCCAGAGGTTAGAGGGAATCTTCACTTCCTTCCACCCCTAGGGGTTCCGTTAGGACTTGCATTTTCCCGACCACAGATTCACACCTGGAGATGCAATAGCATCACCTCCAAAGAGCTGAAACACACATGACTTGGCATTAACCCTGAATGCCCAGTGTCAGAGCACTGGACTCAGGTTTAACACGGGCAGCTTCCATGTCACGCTCCAAATCCGCTCTCCTCCTACATGGATGGTTGGCCTGGAAGCCAATCACGTTTGACCTTGCACTCACACCCTGTGGGTTCCAGAGCATGTGACGTTCCGGTCACACGGGTCCTGCACCCAGACTTCTTGCTCAGGCCTACTAAGGACGCTAAGTTCAGGCAGGAACACAGTCTCAGTCATTGTCTTCTGACTTGCAGGCTAGGTGAGTGGACCAGTTAAGTGCTACCCAGAGGTAAGGTCATACCCAGACTGACAGGCCTTGGGCCAGTGCAGCAAAGTGGATAAATGAATTTAGCACCCAAGACACTATTCAGCACGCCATGGCGATCATTCAAGGCTAGTTTCTTTCCTTCTCCACATCTAGCTGGATTCCTGGAGGTGACTTGCATTTCCCTCTTGCCCTAGAGCTGGCTTCTCCTCTATGTCACTTCCCCAGACTAGCAAATAGGGAGCAGAGGCCGAGGAAAGGGGGAAAATGCATCACTCGGCATTGCCTCTTGCTGGGGAGGAAGATGTTGAAACTCTTGGCCTGATGGAGGTTTGGGGATTGTCTGAAGAGTAAATGACCCCACACTACCACCCATCTCTGCTGCTGCACGTGTCTCTGACACATTCTCAGCATTCACCGGTAACTCAAAGACCAAAGGGAACTGGGATATTGAGGCCTGGTGCATGGTGCTCAGAAGCTGGGCAAAGTGGTGATCCAGTTGACCAGGGCTCCTCACGCAGGAACCTCGTGCGAGAGAGAGGCACGCAGTAGATCCCAGAGCTACTCTTTGGAGCACATGTTCAACAGGTATGTGATGACTGGCCCCTGCGGTCCTGGGATGCAGGTGTGAGGACGGGGAGTGCTGGACCAGGTGTGGCCAAGGGATGGTCAGGGCAGCCCCAAGCCGTGCCCCGCCCCAGGGATGCAGGAAGGATGCTCTGTGTGGGACCCCGAGATTGAGCTCTGCCCACTTTCAGTGTCTGTTGCATGTCACACTGGCATCTTCTGCATGCCCACAGTTTGTCACCCCCCATTTAGAGAAGCTGCAGCGGAAGATGGTTTCCTCTGTGCCCTTGCAGGCGACGTCATCCATCCAGATCCTCCCAGTGCCTGTGGAGACAGGGAAACACGACTTCTAAGCAGAGATGCAGGAGGGCAGAAAGAAGAAGAGACAGCATGACTGCCGCATGCCCAAACGTGGGGGCTTCCGGCTGCCCTCTCCAGCCCACCAAGACCTCTTACTTATTTTCTGGGATGAGTTTCTTGAGGGCAGAATCACAATAATTGATGGTGATGATGGTAGTAGCTATAAATATCTTCTATGTGTCAGGCAACTTATACATACGTGCTGCATTAGTCTTCACCATGGTGCTATGAGGGAGGTATTAACAAACCCATTTTATAGATGGGAAAACTGAGGCTCAAGGAGCAATTGGTGCAGAGTCACTCAGCTTATAAGCAACAGATTCTTAATGGAAGCCCAAGTCTTGCTGCCTCCCAGCCCATGCTTTATACCCAACACTGCCTAGCTTTTGAGAAGCATTATCTTGTGGCCACTGTTGATGGAAAGTCAGGTAGGACCACATCGGAGGGACAGTGTCAGATGAACCTTGCATTGCCCCAGTGCCCCAGAGCTAAGTTTGTCAGTACCAACATTAACTCTAATCTTCTGAGGTTTAAAGCAGATGGTCTCAGTATCTCTGAGCCCCAAACAATGGTTTTGGGATGGCAAGGACCCCAGAATTTAACATTATCGCTGGATATATATTTAAGAATATGCAGGAATGGCTAGGTGCAGTGGCTCATGCCTGTAATCCCAGCACTTTGGGAGGCCGAGGTGGGCAGATCATGAGGTCAGGAGATCCAGATCATCCTGGCTAACACTTTGGGAGGCCGAGGCAGGTAGATCATGAGGTCAGGAGACTGAGATCATCCTGGCTAACACAGTGAAACGCTGTCTCTACTAAAAAATACAAAAAGTTAGTCAGGTGTGGTGGCACACGCCTGTAGTCCCAGCTACTTGGCAGGCTGTGGCAGGAGAATTGCTCGAACTCAAGAGGTGGAGATTCAAGTGAGCTGAGGTCGTGCCACTGCACTCCAGCCTAGGTGACAGAGCGAGACTCTGTCTCAAAAAAAGGAATATGCAGGAACAACTTTTAACCACAAGCAATTAGGTCAGTTCTCAAAATATAAGGTCCCTAAGACAATCTGTTTGATAGGTTTACCCACGGCCAGCCCTGTTCACCCAATTCTTCAGGGGACCACCCTGCAGGCCTGAAGGTGTCAGACAGGGGGACCCTGGTGCTTTAGTGGGCTCTCCCAGGATTGCACCTGAGCTTAAAAGGTATCAACTTGGCCCTGGGGTCCCTCAATGCACACCAGGGGAGCAGGGCAGCTGGTTAAACCACTGAGAGTGAATGCAGAGGGCATGTCTAGGGTCAGGGGTGGTAGAAAGGGGTGTGGGCTGCACAGAAGTCACCCCCAGCCCCCTATGATGAGCTGGTGGGACCATCACCTGTGGTTCTGATGTTCTGTCTTGGCTGACAGCTGGGCCTGGCCTCAGGTGGTGGGAGCCCACTTGAGAGCCTGTGAAGGGTCATGGGGTTCAGTGCTCACATGGGAAGTGGCATGGAGCCTCCCTACTCACGGTGAGGCTCTGGGCCTGCAGCATGGGCATCACCAGGAGCTTGTTGGAAATGCAGAACCTCAGGCTGCCCCAGCTCCCACGAACCAGCTTCTGCATTGTAACAAAGGGGCAAGACACTGCAGCTTGAGACGTAGGAGCAGCGCCTGGCAGCAGGACATGCCTCCATCCAAGTCTGGCACCATCTGGGGTGACCACGTCAGTTACTGAGCTGGGAGGGGCTTCCCAGGATGTGGGACTTTCACTGATAAAACCAGGTAAGTTCCAGGAAAACCAGGACAGCTGGTGACTCTGGCACCCTCACTTGTAATGTTCTGGTACCAAGAAGCAAAGGGGTAAGGGTGATAAACAGGGTTCCAGCGTCACTGGCTGTGTACCCCGAGCGAGTCAACAGAGGTCATTGCTCCTGTATGGGAAAGAGCTTTGACACCCACCAAAGCCTATTCAAAATGTAGCTCAGGTATTATCGCTTTGCCCCAAGCTTCCCACTGTTAGCTCCCCACCCCGTTTCTCAGGAGCCGACAACGTCTCCTTTTTAGTGGAACTGTCAGGACTGACTACTAAAGCCTTAAACTCTGTCATTCACTCTTGAAGTACATGGGTAAAATCCCTTTACAAAGAATGTCAAGAGAACACCTAACCTGCTTCCCTGCTGGCTGACTCTAACACACGAACTAAGTGGCGTGAACATGTTTTTGTTATGTAGACATGCTCAGCCTCTGTTGTCATGGGATTGCCACGCAGTGAATTCGGGGACGGAGCAGCGAGGAGAGGCCCCTTCCGCCACCTCCTTGGATGTTGTTTCTTCTCCAGAGCCTCTTCCTGGCCTGGATAGCTGTGGCTCTTACACAATCAGCCCTTTGAGGCAGAGCAATGATTTGCAGATTAAATGTCTCCTGGAAGCAGCATCGGTTTACAAATTACCCAGGAAAAGGCTGCAAGCTCCAGGGCTCTGTGGGATTAGTCACACCCAAAGCAAATAAAGAAGACTAACAAATAAAGAACAGTTCCAAGGTGACCCAGCCCAAATGCGTAGATAGGATCTCGCAACTCCAGCTGGTGTTTCGCCAGAGCGTTCTGGCTCAGGTCCAGTTGCGGCAGGACCAATGCAATGGGTATAGGGTCATCGAGGGAGGAGCACTGCATGTCTGCAGTGACATCAGCACTGCAGGGCATCATCCAGGGAAAAATTAACCAGCAAACCGTCTCTGCTCCTCACACCACTGGGCAGGGGCTAGAACTCCGTCGGCTCTAGATATCAGTCATTGCTTGAGCGTTAGAACTGATATCTGATTACTCAAGGTGCAGTCTAAGGACCATGGCTGTCAGTATCACCAGAGAGCTTGTTAGAAAAGCAGACTCTTGGCCAGGTGCCATGGCTCACTCTTGTAATCCCAGCACTTTCAGAGGTTGAGGAGGAGGATCATAGAGATGAGGAGTTCAAGACCAGCCTGGTCAACATGGCAAAACTTGTCACTACTAAAAACAGAAAAATTAGCCGGGTATGGTGGTGCATGCCTGCCATCTCAGCGACATAGGAGGTTAAGGCAGGAGAATCCCTTGAACCCAGAAAGCATAGACTGCGGTGAGCCCAGATTGTGCCACTGCACTCTAGCCTGGGTGACAGAGCAAGACTCAGTCTCTAAAACAAAACAAACAGAAACCAAATTACCAAGGCCGCTGTGTGCTCAGTACCATTCTGGGGGTTTGGAACACATTGATGAACAAAAAGACAGAAGAACAGAAACAAAACCTTTCGGCCTCATGGAGCTAATGGGTGAACTTCTATCTGTTTATTTAGAGTAATATTCAGAGTAGGAAAATGTTACACTGAATCCTGCAGGCTTCTATCTGTGCCTCAAACAGAGAAGGCAGGATGGCTATTTAACAGGTATTTGAGAGGAAAACTGAGCCCCCAGAAAGACTGACTGACATCTCTAGGCAAGTAACTATTGAGGGGAAGAGGCCCTGACTTGGCCTCTCATGTTCAGCCAGGACAGTCTTTTCTCCTTGTTGAGATTTGCTCGGGGTGGCTGGCAAAATATTAAGGAAAATATTAGGGAAAAGCTGTAAGATACAGTCTCTAACTTTTTAGAAGGCGGAAAAGTTTTTATTTATTAACTTACAGAACAGGCTGAAAGCAGCCAGTTCTTAAGTTAGAGCATTAAGTCATAAGGTAGATTAAAGATAATAAAAGCTTCCCTAGTTAAGTCTGTTTACCCCACATTCCTTTGTCCCTACTCTCATTTGTTTACTCACGTAAACTTTGTGCTGGATGGTCCTCTCAGAGGGAGCCTGTAGAACAATTACCCATTAATAGAGTTTATTCTAGGCCCCAGAACCAAGACTTTTATCATTCTTAAAGCCACTCTTTTAACCATGTTAATTATTCACAAGCTTGTGGACTTAGAACCTCTGTTATTAAATCCATACTGAGTAAGTGTCAATCAGAAGAAGGAGTTATAGTCAGTTAGCTGCAGTCACCCTCCGAAAGCAGCTGACGACCACCCCTAGCCCACTGGATCCACTGTATTGTGTGTGTGACAGTATTTCATTCATCTGTCACTGAGTCAAAGTCCGCAAGACAGACCGCTGCAGGGAGTGATCAACATCTCATCTCCTCATATGACCGCAGTCCACAGCACTTAACATTCAGTCAGGGGATGGCAAACAGTGAGCAACGTCTGGCCAATGGCTGTGGTTGTAAATACAGTTGTACTGGAACACAGTCCCACCCATTTGATTGCATTTTGGCTATGGGTGTCTTCTTGCTCCACGTACAGCACTGAGTAGCTGTGACAGAGACCACCTGGCCCACAAAGCTTGAAATATTTGCTCTCCAGCACTTTATGGAGAATGTTGGCTGACCCTTGCTCTGAAGCTGTCTCCCACTATTTGAATCTTATCTTAGAAAAAAGGATGAAAGGAGGTAATACTGCTATAATTAGAAGTGAACACTCCTAATTCTGTCTGCCTGTTTCCACCTACAGATCTGCAGATGTGCCCCCACCCTTACCTCCTTTTCCATCTGTCTGTCTCCCTGGGAGATGCTCCCAGCTGCTCCAGGTCACACTCCCATCCACGGCCTCCCAGGCCTCTCCAGTCGTCACCCCTCCACCTCCCCACCTGCATCGCTCCAACACCTCCTGGGCCAATTTAAAATTTAGAACATCTTCAAGGCTCTCCCATTTGGCGCTTTCCTTGGTTGCCCCGATGCAAACATAAAATCTGCTATGCCCTGTCCAGGAAAACGTTTATGGTGCCAGACCTCTGGGGGAACGGCCAGGGCTTGGAGACAGGAAGGACTCTGGTTTGGCAGGCACTGGAATGCCTTCCTTCCATTCTTTTTTCCTCCCTCCCTCTGTTCTTCCTTCCTCCCTCCCTCCATTCCTTCCTCCTTCCCTTCCCGTCTCCCTGCCTTCCTTCCCCCCCTCCTTCCCTGCCTTCCTTCCCCCCCTCCTTCCTT